TAGAGAACGATAACGTGTGTGTTGTGGGCAAAGTGCGCACTCCGGACGACGAGGTCTTACTCACGCCTAACGCTATATTTGAGAGACAGAAACTGATGGCCAGTACTCAGTACTCACTCGACAGGAAGGATATCTATAAGGATTTGGGAGTCCTGGGCCTCGACTACGGACCACACTTTCAGCGCCTCCGACGCATTCAGACCAACGATTTCCGCGATATTTATGGCATCAATGAATGGGACGGAAATTTTGTCACATATTTGGACGCAATGTTGCAGTCGATCGCATTCACCATTCCGTTCCGTAAAATAATGATTCCAATGATGATTCGGGCCATACGTGTGGACCCGCGTGTGTTCTTCGAGAACGTCCATCGAAACCGAAATGTAGAGCAAAAACATATAGAGGCTATGGATGTCGAGCAGTCGTTTGCGGCGAACGTCGCGCCGGTGATCGGGGGTGAAGCGGTTGATCCCGCTCTGGTCATGAAGATGGACGCGAAGACACTAAACGACGTCAAACAAATATACGGGGAAGAGATGACCAAAAAGAGAGAGCGCTTCTCAGTCTTCTCGGCTGATATGCCGTTTCATTTCAACGCAAAGTCCAAACGACTGGTCGCTCACGGCATCGAAGTGGAGGACGTGATTGGCTTCCCTATACCCAGACGTACGGACGGCACGGATCTGGTGTTAGACACGTATCAGTTCTTCCCCAATGAAGATCTCGAAGCCGTTGACCCAATTGATAAACGGGTGGCCAATGAGTACATTGAGGTAAGTGTTGGAGCGTTTTGGTTAATGAAGTGATTGACGTTTAATATGTTTTTATCAGGTGTGTAAAGCAATGGCCGCTAAGATTAAACAAATTGGATATAAAGACATTAAATGCGATTTTAATTACCAAAACATTAGCGATGATGTGATACAAGAGTATAGGACAACAAATAATGAAAATCATGTATTGTTTCGTATATTTGATAAAATACTGACAGAAGTTGTCGACGAAAACAAGAATTCGAAAAACAGTAAAGAAGTGATGAAAGTATTGAAAGATATAGAAAGCGGTGCCGAATATGATCTCAATAAAGATCTGATAAATCAGATCCAAAAGAATGAGCACATGATTAGAACTATGGTTGATATCGTGTGCGAAAACTTTGTGTCAATCAAAGAGATGAAAGTGACTGAAATTAATCTCTCGTCCGGTGTTTTGGCCAAAGAAGTGGATCACATTATGTCACTCTTCCGTATTATTCCATACGATGTCGACTATAAACTTGTAGTGAAATCAAAACAACATTGCATTGATATGT